TCCTCTTTTTCGCGTCGGCAACTTATGCATGCAACAATAAGCATATAGAGCAAAATTGAAGAATCTTTGACATGCACACGGGGACATCAGAGCATTTCGTTGAAAAGCATTAATGCAGGAAATGTAGGAGGGAGAAATAACTTGGTGTCTGTTGTATGATTTGTTGGTTGAGAAAGCAAGCTGTTTTCTTTAATTTGTGATGTCATCAGATAAATAGTACGTTCAATGTTATTGTATGAATTGACTTCCGTAGACGAGGTGCGATGTAACACAGAACTAAGATCAAATGCTCTTTACAATCTCCTTTTGTAATTATTAGTTGAATGATGTGCTCAAAGCTTATCTAATGCATATGAGATGTCGTTTTTACTCTCCTGCATATCAGACCTTATCTGGTTTGGCTGGAAGCCCAGCGTATGTTGTCCCTGATGTTCCACTGGGAAACTATTCTGAGAAGGTCGACATTTGGAGTGCTAATGTCTTCCTACATGCTCTGTTGGTCGTGAGCCTTCCATTTCAAGCTGACTCCTTATAGGCTGGTTGAGGCAATCAAGAATGTCCAGCTTGATCTTCACAATGGGATAGGAGAGTCAATATCTAAACCTGCACGCTATCTTTTGCAAGGGTGTTGACAAGGGATGTATCTGCCAGGATCACCACAGATGAAGTACTTGATAAATATCTGAGACGCAATGAACTAAGACGACGGACATATGATTGCATTTTGTTTTCTCTTCTGGGTTCGCATGTCTGCTCGTATTGTGGCACTGGGATTTTTTTTGCTAGTTTATCCAACTAGATGGGTAGGACTTGGACTACTTAGTGACAGCTTCTTTAATGAGTGGCAGTTTGCCTTTTAAGGGAACCTCACTCTGTAGTTCCTTGTCTGCTTAGCAGCAACTTGATGACAAGCTTTCTAGGTGATTGCTTGTGTTTATCTCCTCGACGAAATCTCTAATGTATACTTGTCTCAGAGGTCTTTACATCTCTGGGAAGTAATTAACCCCTCTGGCTGAAAGAATAATTTTCAGCTTCCGTGCTTTCATGTGGCGAGCTGCCATTTAAATTAAGATTGATGGTGCGTGATGCATCCTTAGGTGTCAAAAAACCTAATAATTCTTTGCAAGTTTCCCTCGTGTGATATTAAGTTTTCCTTCTTGGTTGCTTGTTTCCAATTTAATCTCAATTTCTAGTAACTCCTCTTAGGTACAGTAGAAAGTCCTCAATTCCCGGCCTTGAGGTCCTAGGTTTACAGTCCATGCAACCTTGTCTGTCCGCAAATGTGACTGTCAAATCCATTTTCACCGAGCTCTTGTTAACTCTCTCGATTTATGCATTGTGATCTTTGATAAGTTTCTTGTACACTATAATGGTGGAAAGTGGAGTTTTTCATAAATTTATTGCTGGTTCCGCTGACTAAATTGACTGTTAACTAGTGTCTTCCCAGGGCATCCATGGATTTTGTTCTACCCAGAGCGCACCTTAAAGATACTGTCCATCAGGTCAAAAACAAAGAATCAAGTTGCAGAAACTTCGTCCCAACCTGCAAATGCACCTGTTAGAGTTGGCTGTCCCGAAGAGGACTCAAATCAGCTTCCATCTGATAGTTAAACCTGCAAGTCAAAGAGCAGGACGAATATGAGCAATAGAGGAGCAGATGTGGACCCACTGGCCCAATAGAGCCAGAGTGATCATCTAGCATCACAGCGAACAATTTGTGTAGAGTATTTTGACCCTGCTGACAGATTAACACCACTAACGAAGCTCATCTCCACTGTTTTGTGAGCTGGGAGAGAAGATCTGAAACAGCCACACCGTAACTCCAATTTTCAGTGGGCACTGGGCGAAGATGGTTACAGAGCAACATAATCATAGCTGGTAAATATGGTGTCATTTCTTTTTTATCAAATATGACTGTAATTTCTTTCAGTAGCCATGTTCTCGATTTAACTCCGATGATGTTTCTAGACTGATTAGCTGAGAAATTTGATGAACAGAATTTTGTAAATAGTGCCAATGAGCAATTATGATTTAATTTTTTGATGTCAGATTGCATGGATTAGTTCCTTGCTTTTCGAAGTCTGTTTCGGAAGTAAATTGCAGGCCCTTACTAATTTGTCTAAGGAGCTGTGTAAAAGAGCTCTTCACCTTGAGCTCCAGAGAAGCAATGATGTCGAAGTCGAACAACAGTTGATGCCCTCGGGATTGTAATGTATTGGCATTGCCTTCCTGCTATCCGTCTCAAATGCTAAACTCTGTGCCACCGTCAATTGTGGATCTCGATGCGTAAAATCTTATAAACAATAGCTCCCCAGGTTTTGTTTCCAAACGTCAACTGCTGAGGAGGCATGGTTCGATGGACACAGGAATGTAGATCCGTAACATCCTCTATTTGTTCTGTCTTTAATTTTATGTCTGAAGTAAGTTGATGTGGTTTCAATAAGGCTTGGACGTTGGAAAAGTGAATCTTCTTCTTTTTTATGTCTTAATCTTATCCCTCGGAACACTAATCTTAGCCTCTCACGACTAGTTCTCCTCCGCAAGCAACTTGACGTTATAATTTCGCAAACAAAGGGTCGGTAGCTAATTAGCAAGATGGGAACATGACATCATGGACAATAAATATTTAAACGCCCACGCCCTTGCCATTCATGTTTGGGAGTGCTCCATAAAATATTGGTTTATAAAAATTTAATTTTTTTATATTCTTTTATCGTTTTAATATGTAAAAATAAAATAAAATATTATTTTAATATATATCTAAAAAATCAACTAACATAGTACACAGCAGCTGATAACCCTCACTGCCGGACCTGGAGCGGGAACAATCTATATTTTATGCATTAACCTTTGACCAATCACGATTAGCAGAATTATTTATCAGGGCCACTTCAATCTCGGGAGCTCAACTCCTCACAAAAACCCATAAAAAAGGCTACAGGTTTCCACCACTTCCATCTCAAAACTAAGTTAGGTATGGATGTGAAAAAGACCACCAAAACATTTACCAAAAAGAAGAGTTCATGTCACTCAAACAAGATCTTCACATGTGTTCTTCTACTGCTGCTGATTCCCGTACTTGTGCATTTGCAAGCTTCCCCTTTCTATTTCTTTACCTCTCCCACTGCTACTTCACGGGCTTTCTTCAACAAATGGAAAGGAATAGCACTTGACGCCTCCGCTGGTCCTTCTATCTCCAACAACAGTGACGGTTTGATCTCAAAGCTTCGAGAGTCAGTCACTTTCCTACCCCTGAAAGATCTGAGGTTCGCTGAAACTGCCATGGAGGGGAACACTTGGTTTATGAGCTCCTTGAACGACACCCATGAGGCGAACGAAGCTGAATACCTCTATTTCCCTTCACAAATGTCCAAGGGGCGGCTTCTATGCATCAAGGGAAGTCATGCGACAGACGGCACCAGGAACTCATATGCCTTGGTTTGGCCAGAAGCTCTTCCAGACTCTGCCACACTCATGAAGGGCTTGACCTTTGTGTCAGACACATTCTATGATTATGGCAATTTGTGGCATGGATTGACTGGTATGGCGCCCTTTGTTGGTTGGTCTTTGAAAAATAAGTGCCTGAATCCTACAAGATGGGTACTGTTCCATTGGGGAGAGTTGAGGTCTAAAATGGGGTTATGGCTACAACACCTAATGCAAGCTAACTTTGGAGATGTTAAAGTTGAGGGATTTGAAAGAGGAGATGGGCCGTACTGCTTTGAGAAGGCAGTTGTGATGAGACATAACGAGGGAAGTATGGGAAAGGAAAGGAAGCTTCAGGTTTTCGATTTGTTGCGATGTAATGCTAGAAGATTTTGCGGTATAAGCCCTGAAGGCAAGGGACAAGAGACCAATGAAAGAGGTGAACCGATTATAAGGCTGACGCTGCTCATGAGGAGAGGTTCGAGGTCATTCAAGAATGCAAGCGCTGTGACGGACATATTTGCACGGGAGTGTGCACAGGTGGAGGGCTGCACATTCAAGGTAGCTCAGTCAGAAAATCTAAGCTTCTGCGACCAGGTTTGTTTGTCTGAAACCTCTACTCTGTTGGATCCAAAAATTTTCTTTCTTTTCCTACTATTTTTACACTGAAAAAAAAGATGATATTTTCAAAGAGAATTCATGCAAAACATAATATACCCAAGATATCGATACATTTATTACACTTAACATACATAGTTCTCTATGAAAAAAAAACAACACTCATCTTATGTTACTTTCTTACACTCATCTTATATTACTGACATGGCCCCTTCATTGTTCCTGAGAAATCAAATTATCCAGCGTTCAATTTCTTATGAACAAATGCTAGAGATCTTGATGGTAAAATCTCTGGCTTAGTCAGGGACACCTGCGGGCAGTAACTGGTTAGGTTGGGAGCAGAAGTAATTCAAGCGAATGCCATAATAATCGAACTTCTATATATCCATCCGATTGGTCGAATGAAGAACATTTAGAACATTTTGCAACTTACTGATCATTAAGTTTCCTTTGCTGAAATTCTTTCTTGTACATGCTTACTAAACAACATGCAATGACAGTAGCAATAAGCCAACCGGAATTAATAAAAAGCTCGATGGTTCGAAATGCCTGTTGCTGCAATCTAGCTCATTCTTTTAACAATTGTGTTCATCATTCAGGTCAGAGTAATGACTTACACCGATGTCGTTGCATCCCCACATGGTGCTCAGTTGACAAACATGCTTTTCATGGACAGAAACAGTAGTGTGATGGAGTTCTTCCCTAAAGGATGGTTAGAGCTTGCCGGAGTGGGTCAGTACGCACATCACTGGATGGCAGACCAATCTGGCATGAATCACCGAGGTGCATGGTGGGATCCACTGGACAAAAAGGAATGTCCATTTCCTCAACAAGATGTAGATTGCTTTAAGTTTTACAAAAATGGGAGAGTTGGTCACAATGAAACCTATTTTGCAGAGTGGGCGAGAATTGTTCTCAATGAAGTTAGGATAAGCAAGATGCAAATTGCCACTAGGAGTCCCACTAACAAGCCACAGCCAAACTCAATTGCCTGCAAGTGCTAGTGTATTTGTTCACTTGGCATTTTACAATCTTATATTATAGGGCACAGTTGAATTGTAACAGAAAATTTGATGAAATAATGCTTTGTTCTTGGACATGAGAAACAAGAGGAAAATATGCAGTAATATTCTCTTTTTGCAAAAGTAATATAGCATTCAACTACAATTATAGGGAATTTTTCAAGGGTCGCATTAAAATTGAAGAAGTTGCTGGGAAGATTTACAATGGAACCTGCATTTTAACTCTTGATACATCCAAAGGATGGGCATTGCTTTAACAGATTCTTCGGTGCTCAATAGACCTCATCTTCTAGACATTTTGGACCACAGATAAACCACCAAGAAACAAAACAGTGCAAAAGGAACCACATGAACAATATGGTTTCCACCACTCTTGATGATACTCTTGTTTAATTTCCTAAGGTTGTTCTTCACACCAGCTTGAGCTTTCATCAGTGATTTGCTGTTGTCATTCAAAGGAAGCTTTCCGAAGGCAGTTGCAGATTTTTGTACTGGACCCATGTTTCATCTATCCATTTCCTTTCCTAAAAATAAATATTCAACATTTCAAGTTGTTTTCTGTATCTGAGAATCAGTATTTTCAGTTACGGGCAGATAACTGTCCTCTTCTTTTACAATATAATGCGCTATCTCTAAAGTTCAGTAATTTTATCCACCATTTCCTTGCCCTTTAAAAATTTCACACGGCCATTGCGTTTTGTTTCAATTTTTTTTATTAAAAAAAAGTTTGAAATTAGAAGACTAGCAATTCAAAAAGAAATCATTATATCATAGGAGTGGCAACATTGAGCAAACCAAAAACTAAAAGATAGCAGAAGTTAGCGTGCACAAATGTAAAAAAAATAAAAAAATAAGGGTTTAAGCATATACCAGAGTCTCTAAGAAATCCTTCTCATATTTTGCTTCTGATTATATCTCTTGAGCCACCTACACCATATGATTAAATTGGAGCTTGAACATTACAACAGAGGAAACTTCGAAAAATTCTGCACTCAAACTGACCACATCAGATGGTAATGTTAAATTTCAAATGGAAAGATCTTCATCGCAAAAATATGCGAACAATATAAACACAGAAAAATCATCAACAGCAGTTTTTATTTTTGCAGGAAATGTGCCCAAATTCCATACGACAACAAACACAGACCAATCCTGGCTTCGATTGCCAAGAATGGCATGCATGTACTTCCTCAGAGCCTTCAAAGCAATCAATCCACCATAATTCCTTCTTCACTGGGAAAAAACCCAAGAAAGGACCTTATCTTGTTTCTTCTTTTATTAAATACAATAAAATATCCAGAGTCCAATAACAAATTGACAACAGTTTTGTAAAATCCCATGAAAGAACAATTTCACAAACCCAGAGTTGATCAATCACAGACATCTTCCACTATGAGCAAAGATCATAGAACTTAAGGGTCTTCGATACAACCTTAACGGTCTTTTTCTCACTCCACGACTCAATCTTCCTGGCATGCACAGTTAACATTTCAATTGCACGGGAAAGCCAGCCGATACAAAACCAGTAGGAACAGATGTCATAAAAATAAACCCCGAAACAACATCTTACATGGCTTGGAGAAACAGCAAGTGGAGCTGCCCAAATTTGCAACACAGCCAGGCTTGTTTATGTAATTGGGTTTGGAAAATCTAATCTTTAATAAATCACTCCATTTTACAGCCCTCGTGCAAAATATTAGCTCAACAATACAGAAACGCGTCCGCTTTTTTCCAGAGGAATTGCTTTGCCTTCATTAAGCAAGGTCAACAGTTTTTATATAAAAAAAAATAAAAATTAAAGAGGAGGTTACGTTTCTTAATTGCCTAACTTGGTGACGTAGGCCAGTGATCTAACCGTCCACATCCAAATGGATCGGGTCAATCCGCAATTGTTTTTAATCGGAGCTCGCCACGGGTCTCGTGCTAAGTCCTTCTCTACAAACATTTGAAAAGAATTAATAAAGGAATCATAAACCCTAACTTTGAGAATAAAAAATACCTTGATCTGTAAGGAGCAGCGCCTCTGTAAAAAGAACCGCCTCTTCGGTTCAAACCATCCTCCATTGAAGCAAATTTGAATGGTGAAGCCAAATTAATAGGGCCGGAGATTTGCGCGAATTTTTAAATTCGAAGAATTGGGGAGTGGCGTTTTACGAGCGAGTTTCGAAAATTTTATATTCCACGTATTAATTATTTTTAAAAATAATTTTAAAGAAAAAGAAAAAAAGAAAATTTACAAACTATAAAAGTGTTAAAAATATTTTCATCTAAAATTTATCTTAATTGGATTTATTTTTCCAGATAAATTTATAAAATAACTATTGTTATAAAATTTCCTGTTTTAATGTGCATCCATAACATTTTTTTTTCTGGAACACTAAAGTGCATTATTTATTTGGCTTTGATTCTCAACCTACACGTACAATCATCTCGTGACCATATACAGTCATCTCATGACCATGAACATACAATAAAGTTATTTATTATAATTTTGATTATGATGTCTATAGATTTTGCTTTGAGAGAACTTAATGGATATGTTTTGTATCTTCAATCATGCTGAAAAAATATATCAAAGCTAAAAAATTATTTTATCTGATTCAATTTTTGAGTTTCTAACTTAATTATAACATGCCATGTTATTACAAATGGGTTTATAAAGGCTTAGATTTTTGTTATATGCCTGGGTTAAAGATGATTAGAATCTAGGTTACTGGAAATAAAAAACTTTGGATGTACTTGAGCCAATTTATATTATAGATAATATTTTTATTTTGATTTAGTTTTTATTAAAAAATAACTAAATTGGTTTTTAAAAAAAAACTGAAAAATATTCAAATTGATTGATTTTAGTTGGGTTTGGTTATATTAACAAACCAGTTCAAATTGATTTATTTTAGTTTTTTCGGTTTGACTTGATTTTTTTTGTTTGACTTTTTTTTATTCAATGTTATTTTTAAAAATTTTAAACTTATAAAACCAAATCAATTAGTTTTAAAAAATTCTAATTAATTTAATATATTTTTTTAATATTTCAGTTTTTTTTTTCCCAATCCTTACCTCATATAATTGAAAAGGATGGTAAACAAATGTGCATCATTTACTCGAATGGGTGATGCAGCGTCCGCCATTTAGAACCCGTTTGACAAAGAGGTTGTGTCTGCGTTTTATTTAAAACGCATATGTAAATTGTTTGGTAAAAACAAAACGTATTTTACTATATATAGGTCTCATGTTTTTTCGCATCCGAGACGTAGGAAAAGAAGAAGCAGCGTTTTGCTGCTTTGTGCACATTGTTCACGCTAATTTTAATTAGCGTGAACAGTGTATGTGAACAATGCAGTAGATCTGCACTGTTCGCTTGAAAAATAACGAACAATGCACTGCACTGTTCGCGTGAACTTTGCAATTCACTTGCACTGTTCACATACTCTTTTTGTTAAAGATTGTTAATTTTATTAATATTTAAAAAAAAAACTAGTTTAAAGTAAATTAAATTAATTTATATTGTAATGTGAATAATATTTTTTTCTTGAAAAATTAATATATAGTGAATTAAATTCACTCGCACTATAATATCAATTTTATACCTGATAATATTTTATTTAATTTTATTACACGCTCAAAATATTATGAAAACTATAGTTTTTATCGGATAAATTTTGTATGTAATGGAATTATAAATAATTTAATAGAATAATAAAAAATATTTTATATAAAGTATTATTTATTTCATGATGTAATAGGAGTAATTAATTTTACAATATTTAAATTTAAAACCATCAATATTAATATATATTTTTTAAAATTATTTTATAGCCTTAATTTCAAAAGTATTTTTAACCGAACACATTAAACTACTTTTTTTTAACCTCAATTTCAACCATAGTTTTAACCAAATATCTATTTTTTCAAATCAACCTTAACTAAAAATACTTTTTATAAAACAATTTTTTTTAAATTACAATCACAACAGCTATCGCAATATCAAACACACTCTTAAAAAAAAAAATATCAACCTTAACTAAAAATACTTTTTATAAAACAAATTTTTTTAAATTATAATCACAATAGCTATCGCAATACCAAACACACTCTTAAAAAAAATATATAAACATTGGGTGGGGGTCTAGGTTTTCACAGCCAGGCTTGCAAACCCATTTTTTTAGACCATGCATGCCTAGCTCTACATTTTTTTCTTTCTGTTTTTATTTCACATTTTATAATTAGATTTTTAAAAACAAATCTATTTAAATAATATTTAAATAATTATCCAGGTACATTATTATTTTCAAATAATATTAGCGTCTTGTATGGAAATATACACAATTACATTTTCTTATATAATTTAAATTAATATTTTTCTTATAAAAATTCTTTTTTATTAATATATAATTAAATTTTAAAATACCCACGAAATTAAATATCTCTACTTATATTTTTTTTTAGTTAGCATCAACTATATTTTTTATGATTTACAAACTCATTAAATTTTTATTTTATTTTTGTAAACTCACACATTAATTTTTAAATTTTCAATTAATATTTTGTAATGTTAAAAAATGTTATCACGATACCTAATAATTTTCTCTCCTGATAAAAATTAATTTTAAAACGGGTAATTGACTAGTTTTTTCTGCGGTGAAAAGCGTCTTAAATTCGTCGTTGATTTTCCTTTTCGGTGGCTTTCTGTTTTTTTGTTTTTCTTTCCTCACGTGGTCAAGTCAATTGGAACCTGTGTGATAATTAATTCTCTAATGCACAGTAACCTAAGTGCAACTCCAAGGGACGTGGCAAAAGAAGAGTAAAAAATAATAATAAAAATATTATTTTAATTTTTCAATGTTTATTTCATGTGCTCCAAGTGTGCTCCTATATATTTAGTAAAAACCAATAAAGCAAGGTCAATAAAAAAATAAATCAATTAAATACAGTAATGTGTAATAAAATGACATTGAGTTTTTTTTTTAAATAAAACACTTATTTATTATACTCCAATAAAATTGATTTTTCAAATAGTTTCTTTTATTAAAATATACATAAAAAACTATATTTATACTATTTAAAATACAAATTTATCAATTTGACTCTTCGAAACAAAGAGATGCTCTAAGATGTATATTTCCATATTTACCCATGGATCACAACCTTTAGTCATGCCTGACGCACATCCTCCACCATCCACTAGTTTGATCTTCGAGGAATCCAACGCTGCCCAAGAAACCACTTTCACTGTCAAACAAATTACACGCGTTGTTTGGAAGTTTCCATCAATCCATGTCCATCAACGCCACACCCTTTTCGTAAACGCAGAAATAACACGCGATGTCTGGCTATAAATTATTGCCCTCCATAGCCACAGGTATCACAGCCTTTCTCTCTCCTATAAAAAAATCCCCAGAGAGAGAGAGAGAGAGAGGATTGCCCCCAAACTTTGCAATATGGGAAGTGAAGCTGAGGTTCCTAAAAAGCCCAGGTTTTTATGTCTTCATGGATTCAGAACAAGCGGAGAAATTCTCAAGAAACAAGTGCACAAGTGGCCTGAATCAGTGCTTCAAATGCTCGATCTCGTTTATCTAGATGCCCCTTTTCCTAGCCAAGGAAAATCAGATGTGGAAGGAATCTTTGACCCTCCTTATTATGAGTGGTTCCAATTTAACAAGGTCCAAATCCTTATGCATCAACTGTATAAAGTTCAAAGAAAGAAATTTGATTTTCGAATAATCTTTATATGTAAAAGGATAAATTTATATTGTTTCTCTGTGGTTTGATTTTGATACTCGGTTTGTTTTGTTGTATATTTGTTTTTAATTTGAAGAGATGTTTGGTGTGTTTTCTTCCAGGAATTCAATGAATACACTAATTTTGATGAATGCCTCGCTTATATCGAGGATTTCATGATCAAGAACGGACCCTTCGATGGTCTACTTGGCTTTTCTCAGGTGTGTGAAAAACTGTGTTCTTTATTTGTTTCCACATATATAAAGATTCTATTTGGTTGCAGAGAAAATGCAGAAAACTGTAATGATTCTTGTTGTTTACATTTTACTCGTGGCTAATTTAATATATTCATGTAACTTATTCACTGGATGTGCATATATGATACAGGGCGCAATTTTATCGGCTGGGCTTCCCGGATTGCAAGCGACGGTTAGATGAAGTTGCTCGTTTTTTATTTTTTAAATTATAATTTATTTTTTACAGATGAGAGGCTCGAAACCCGACATCTCTGGGAAGGAGAATATGAATACAAGTCACTGGCAGCCTCTAGTTTATTAATAGAATTATAATAATGCTAGATGATTTATTGGGCTGTTTGCTGTTTCCTTTTGCAGGGTGTGGCTCTAACCAAAGTGCCCAAAATAAAGTTTCTGATAATAATTGGAGGAGCCATGTTTAAGTCACCATCTCTGGCTGAGAAAGCATATGCTTCCCCAATTGAATGCCCATCCCTCCACTTTTTAGGTATCTTATCTCCATTTATTGTTTCTTTCTACGAGTATAGAGTTCCATATCTTTTGCCATTACTCCTCTAGCAGCTTTGATATGTACTAATAAGGCATTTCGGGCTCCTTGTTTATAAAAGAAACGGTTAACAATCATTGTGAAAAGAATATAAAACAAACCTGTATATAATTGAATTCAGAAAGAACATATTTGCTAATGTCATCCTGCCTGTTTGTTGCAGGGGAGACGGACTTCTTGAAGCAATATGGAATGGAACTCTTGAAATGTTGTGCAGACCATGTTGTGATTCATCATCCTAAGGGTCATACGATACCAAGACTTGGTGAGTACTGAAATGTGAATCACCCTTCTTTCTGTTTTGCTCTAACAGGAGGCTCAATGCATCTTGTGCTATTGTAATAAGGGATAGATCGCCGTCAATCATTGAATCTTAAGTGCATCCTTCGCATGATTTGGATCTAAAATATTCAAGTGTAAATCCCAAGTCTTAATTGCTGACGAGGGACCCAACAACTCTTTTATCTCTCGTGTTTCTTCGTGTTGCTTATTACATTTCTATCATTGTTATTTACTAACAGGCAATTATTTCTCTTCTTCTTTCAGATGAAAAGGGTTTGGAAACCATGCTGAGCTTCATTGACAGAATTCAAAACATGTTACTAGACAAGTAGATAATGGTGGCGCTTGTTTAGCGCGTCATCGATTCACTTTAAGCGGATCAATAGTGTATGATGGCTAGCCAGAGCTCGCATGATATTAATCCAGTGCCGACACGTAGTTTTTTAATGCAATTTGACAGTTTCACCCCCATACATGCTCTTATTTTTGTTTCTACCTGCTGCCTTCTTCTGTGTGAGCCTGTGTACTGGTATTTTTTGAATCCAAGCCATTATTTTCCAGACGATGATGCACGGTTTGTATTGGTTACTTGATAAGTAACGTGGCTTTATCTGAATCCATTAGTTTATGTTTGCAAAGCGAGCCCGCTCGCCATTCAATTTTACACAAGCCAAGCCATGTTCTCTGACAGAATTCACTTATAATTTTAGTTTTTATATGGTTGTTAATTTTAAAATTTATAAAATTAATTAAAAATATGTAGTTGATCTGGACAATTATTGACATCCTTTTCTTTTAGATGGGAGAGAACTTTTTTTCTGTCATGGGATCATTTTTTAATGAATATGAGGAGTCCAATAACGCACCTCCTGATAAGAGCTGCCGGCATATCTAAACATCACATTCCATATTTGACGGTTCCCGTCTGATCACCCTTTACATGCTATCCTATTCCCTCAAATAATTCAATATGCCAAAATGGCAAAATCAGGTATGCGGTCACCAAGTGATGTTTTGCCGTCCACAATATGGATTCGGTGGAAGTACATTATTTTAAAGAATTCTATGGCTAATGTATTGATAATTAATCATAAAAAATTAAATATATTGACATGATATTTATAAATTATCTATATCTATAAAAAAAATAAAAAACAAATATATGATGGAAAAAGATTACATTTACTCAAACTCAACTCTCAGCTTACACAAACTGTTGCACGTTGTAGTAGAGGTGTTACTTTTGACAATTCCTTTTTCTCTATTCTTCTCACATGTTGCACTCTCACACTCATTTTGTTCTCAAATAATGCCTTTATTTATAGGCAATTCTATGACAAACAAGAGGTCATAAATCATGGCACTAATGGTAACAACAGATAGGTTGCACCATTTTTGTTAATGGTTGGTGCAACTACTATTGTAGCTTTTTGGCAATGGGTTGGTGCAACTACTATTATAGCCTTTTGGCAATAGTAACCCTACTTTTTAGGGTAGGCTGCATAATTTGTTGTCTATTAATGGAAAATCTCAACAATCACCCCCTTTAACATTTATATGAGCAATTGTCCTTTTGTTTTTCCAGCACAAGCTTGCATTCTGCAGCTCTTTCAAACTTACTATTTTGAGAGCGTCTGTGGTCAAGTTTATAGATACTCGCCAAATCTTTCAATCACCAAAGTAACCCAAGCATCCCTTTGCTCACTTCAAATGATCAGTTTAACCAAATAATTTACTTCATCACATTTGAAGAGTGTTAAAACTTATCTCTAGGACACAATATTCCCCTTCGAGCATATCAATCATGCTCGGTCTAGAATGATTGTTCAGGCCTCACACCAAAGCTTACAACACCTCCTTAAACGAAAATTTCTTTTTCCAAGTGCGACAGTCACTCGAAAATTTCTTTTTCCAAGTGCGACAGTTACTGAGTATTTCAATGTGATCACGAACTCACCACTCTTCCAAGAATTTACTTATCTTGGAGTTGCGCCTGCCCTCTGTTTCACCCTAAGAACCACGCTTTACTTCTCCATAAGTCTCCCGTTATTGGTCTCAAGAGTCCAAGTAGCTTTCCACCTTTAACCACGGGGGTAACAAGAGTCCAAGTAGCTTTCCACCTTTAACTACGGGGGTAGCACATTAAAGGTTGATTCATATATGTCTTCATATTCTAATTATTATAATGGTATTACCAAGCTTACCACCTTAACAGGAATCAACTTGGTCCAGGAACATGCACTTGCCCTTTTGCACATAAAGTGTTGAGGAATATAACGATCATGAATTAAAGATCATTTCTCTAAAATAAAACTTTGTTGTTAGTTAAAAAAAATTATAATAAAAGAGATTAAGTTTAATAAAAACAAACAAAACATACCCTGTTTGGATATTATCATAAAAAACTTTAATTTTCTCATTAAAATTTTGATTTATCTATTTTATTTGGTCCTTGTTGTTTTTTAATTTTATATTTTAATCTATTTTTTTTTCATTTTAGGTTTTATATGATAAGAGAAAAAAAGAGTCATCAAAATATTAAAGAGAGAGAAAATATTCAGATAACAACTTTTCAATAATAATAAAAGTTAATTTTAATATTAGTAAGTTTGTTTTTTTAAGACAAGCTTAGAGATAATTATACCCTTTGATTGTATAAAAAAAATAAATTAAGATCCTTAATTTTTTAAACATGTTTAATTGTAATTTTTTATAGAGATTAAATATTATTTTGGGGTCAAAAATTGATCTAGTAGTTTATTGGGTGTTTCTAAGTAGAAAATTTTTTAAAAAATAGGTTTTTAAAATAAAAAAACTTAATCTTTAATTTTTTATCATAAAAAAGACATGTTGTTTGTAAGAATAAATAACTTATTATTTATTTGAAATAAAAAAACAATCGTGCAAACAAAACAAAAGCTTAGTATTTCATAACTTTTTTTAAAAAAATTCTCTTATTTTTTATTTTTTTACTTCATATTATTTTCTTATTAAAATCTTAATTAATACCATATTTCTTTTTTAAAAAATCTTAATTAATACCATATTTCTTTTTTTTTTAAAAAAAATGCTTGGTGTATATTTTTTAAATAGTAATTGATATTTTTTAATTTCATAATGATTTAAAATATATTTTAATTGATCTTTTATCTTTTATTTTATATAAATAAATTACGTTTACATTGCATATCTATAAAAATAAAAATTACTTGCTCTTAAAATTAATCCATAAGATAAAATATTTAAAATAAAAAAAGCTTCTGAGACTAAATATTGACATGTATATCTATTTATCCTTTTTTATTAAAAAAATTAGCCTTTTATTTTAATATTTAATAAAACACAACATCTTTATTTTCTCAATTAAAAATGTTATAATAATAATAAAAAAAATCTATACTACCAATCCTTTCTTCAATTACAATAGAAATGAACTTTTAATTCTATCCACAACACTAGAAAAAAAAAATACCTGCAACGCTGGTTTTTCGTTAATTTAGATTTATTTTTATGTTTTCAAAATATTTTAATTTTTTATTTTAAATTAATATTAATACTTTTAATTTTTTTATTTTAAATTAATATTAATCTAGTATTTTTAAAATTTTAAATATATTAATATCAAAACTCATTTTTAAAAATAAAAAAATGTTATTTAAATATATTTTTAAATAAAATATATTTAAAAAATAACCAAAACCACCGCTAGCGTGCTAACGATCGAAGCAAAGGATCGATTCCATCAGGGAATTCTAGAAGAATCATGTGGGCAGCGGGCAATAACAATGACGATGGTGATTCGAAAGAGTAGCAGTAGAGCAATGACATGCTTATTTCTATCTCAATTACTTCCTCCCACGCTCTCTCACCATAACCACTCCTTTTCCATTTACAAATCCTGTCGCTCTCTCTCTAAAACTCCCTCGGTAACTTAGCGCTCGCTCTCTCTCTCAAACCGGCACATCTCTACATAACTAACCAACACAGCCTGTAATCACACTCCTTTTTTTTTGTTTGTTGTTTGTTTATTAGGATTTTCTAGGTTCAATCTGGTGTCCCACAGTCTGTGCAGCTCGTACAATTCGTTCATTTAGTTCAAAATTCAGCGAATCCAGCACCACCGCAAGAATGCAAAATTCAGAGTCCATATCATACCTAACTCAGCGAGAAGCTGCTGAAGTCGATGAGATTCTCATGGGCCCGCTCGGCTTCAGCGTCGATCAGTTGATGGTCACTCTCAATCTTTATCTCGATTTTTTTATCATTGTTATTATTATTATTAACAGACTCAATTTTTCATTTTGCTGCTTGTTCTTCTTTTAGGAATTGGCTGGATTGAGTGTTGCTACTTCAATAGCCGAGGTATTGCCAAATTTTTATTATTTCTATGAAATCGAGTTTATAAATAAAATTGTTATTAACCTCTAGTATTGTGAATCAAAGGTGTATAAACCTAGCGAATACAGTCGTGTTCTTGCAATCTGCGGTCCAGGGAATAATGGCGGTGATGGTTTAGTGGCAGCTCGTCACTTGCATCATTTTGGATACAAACCTTCCGTTTGTTATCCAAAACGGACTCAAAAACCTCTTTATAATGGTCTTGTTACTCAGGTAAAGTATTCATCTGGTCTTGAATTGAACTGTATTTAAATTATAGTATAACATTGGAGACCCATTACGATGTTGCTTTTTTTGGTAGTTGGAATCACTGTCAGTCCCTTTCCTTTCAGTGGAGGATTTGCCTGTGGATTTGTCTGAAGATTTTGACATTCTAGTAGATGCAATGTTCGGGTTCTCATTCCATGGTAATTACTTGTCTTAGTGCAAACTATCTCTTGATTTTTCTATGACTGTGTATACATATAAGTGTCTCAACAACTTGAGATTATTGTTATGCATTCTTTATGTGAAGTGTATTAAGATTTTATGCTAATGCTCGATTTGCAAAATGCTGTAGCAATACTGAAATATAGTTCTTTTCAAGTTGCTACAGTTTGGTTTATTTTTCCTTTGATATTCTATTTAATTGAGCAGCTTAGAGTGAGGAAGTAGAAAATATAAATTGAGGGCTGGCATAAAAATGTGAATGATGAACATGAAATTAATAAAATTAAACAAGGATCAAAGAGAAAATATGCTAGTTTTGGTGTACCATCAAATGCACTCCTCATATGAAACATCACGAAGTACATGTTTGCTAGGAGGGTAAAGGGGATAAAAATTACCCTTGCAGGGAGGAAAATTTTTAATGGAGGTTAAAATTTAACTCAAAAAAGGGGTTAAATGTTAAACTTGTGTGGAGAGGGGTAAATAAATTTTGAGGGGGCATGTCAGGTTTTTTGCAGCCCCCCCCTCCTTCTCTTTTCTACATATATAATTCAACACTATTATATTCTTTTTTTCATCTCCTTCTATCTTAGACCAAAATTTTAAGTATTTAATCTTTTACTATTCTATTTAATTTAAAATTTGATCTTATCTTTATGGGGACTCATTATTATCCATAATTTTTCTACATCCCACCAGGCGTCCTTAAGACTTCATCCTTTAACCTTTTTTACACTCTTTAACACTTCACCTTTAAATCCCAGCCAGTCAACATTTCTCCTTTAAATTTTTCACCCCATACCAAACACAACCTAAGGGTCAAATTAGGAAATTTAAAAAATCAGGGGTGCCATGGTCCTCCAGTGCAATATGTAGTTCCATCCCCATGCAAAATCAACTTATCAGAGCTTAGAAACCTCAATTGTTTTATTTATTTGATTCTATAATTTGCCTGGATAACTTCTTTATCTATCATACATCAAAATTCTTACTTCTGACATGAATTTAATCATGTTTATAATCTGACTTTCAACATAAATTCTTACTTCTGACATGAATTTAATCGTGTTTATAATCTGACTTTCAACATTTTCAAATATTTTTCAGGTTCCCCAAGACCACCTTTTGATGACCTAATCCAGAAGCTGGTGCAATTGTGTAATTTTGCTCAAAATCACCAAAAATCCACTGTAATTGTGTCTGTGGATATTCCATCTGGATGGCATGTTGAAGAGGGTGATGTTAGCGGTGAGGGAGTTAAGCCTGATATGTTGGTATGTTTTTAGTGGAGACATTTGTATCATACTATTACCACTTCAATAATTTGAAAGATTGCAGATAATTTTCCAAAACATAATCCAATTTAATTATATTCAAACCATCTTATTGATACTACTTTAGTATTATCTAGGTTTCTTTGACTGCTCCAAAATTGTGCGCAAAGAAATTTACTGGTCCACACCACTTTCTAGGGGGTAGATTTGTCCCACCATCTATTGCGGACAAATTTAAGCTGCATCTTCCACCTTATCCAGGAACTTCCATGTGTGTCAGGATTGGAAAGCCTCTACAAATTGATATATCAGCTCTCAGACAAAACTATATTTCTCCAGAATTGCTTGAGGAGCAGGTGGCAGCTGACCCCATTGATCAGGTATGAACACTATTGTTGGCCATTTACTTAAGTATTCTTTCCCTTAGATGCTTGAGTTGACAGCATAACTGTTAACACATAGCTTTCAGAGTTTTTCCCTCTCCCAATCTCTGCTCTTGGTCTTTCACAATCAATGGAAAATTATTCTGCTGTATTCTAAGTCTGCCATTTTCTATCTTGCAGTTTCGTAAATGGTTTGACGAAGCATTGACTGCTGGGTTGAGGGAACCAAATGCTATGGCCCTGTCAACTGTTGGAAAGGATGGAAAACCGTATGTTGCTCTTCGTTTGCTATTCATTGTTGATAGTTTGTTAAATTACAATCCAAGTTAACATGCATGCTACTTTTGAGGGTAATGATTGGATGCATTGTTTGCTTCTTTGTTTAGTGGTTCATGTGATCTGATTTACAGTGATATGGTTTCACTTCTACATCTAAATTCAGAATACTCTTGTATTACTAATTTCTGAAGTACTAAATTCATGACACAGTAAACTGTAAAGAATGTTAGACCATGTATGCTTTCTTAATTGGGTTCTTCAATCTGAATTTGAAGAGGGAGCTTATGGACCCAGAAGGATACTTATCCACCCTTGTAATTTATGGAAACTTTGAAGCTTGTGCAACATTTTTGATGGGAGTTCCAAGTAATGACTGAATTGCCGCGTAACATATAAGACTTTCAAAATAAATCCGCAGATTTGTTGTAGGCACAAGTACATGGAACTCTTTTAGGTGGTTTACAGGCAATTCAAAGGCACAAAACTATGTGGAGTGGTTTGGCTCCTTTGGAGTTTGTAAAAAGGACAAATGTGAGTTGGAACTAGACAAGGAAATCCAGTTCTTAGGGCTGGTGCAGGTGCTGTTTATGGTACTTTTAGAAAGTCTTTTTTTAATAAAAAAAATTTGATTATAAGATGGATTTGGATCACAAAGGTAAGATTTATTGGGCTTGTATGGATGAAAAAGATAAATAATTCTTCCATACATTCCTCGGTGCAATTAAAGAAATTAATGCTACAATCATCATTTTCAGATCTCCTTGGGCATAGGACCCAATGTTTTCATGACATCACTCCTTGGGTCAGGATTGCATCACATAATCTCATATAGATGGCTTAACAACTTGACACGTTTGTAAAACTAGCCTCCTTCCTGATTGATACCATTACATGAGATTTGTTAGGTATCTTAATTCTACAAATTCTAGACTACTAAGCTTTAAGTAGAACAATCTACCAAGACTCGAGGCTTATACAAAGAATAAATTAACGAGTGGGCTCAGATTGAATTTTCAGCTGTCATGTGTGATTTTACAATCCTAACAGAAGTTGTAGATGAGTTACTCTCCATTTCTTGAAGAGTGTTGTCTCTGTTTGGTATTATCAAAAAGTCTAAAGCATCTCTTACTCTTAAATTTTGCTACTCAGTTAAAACTAACTCAGTTCTCTCATGAATTGAAAATGAAAGGATTTGCTGCTCAAATCTTGTTCTACGTTTTTTCTGTTTATAAAATGCATAGCTGGCTGTTTTGTAGAATTGATTGTCATTTTTCAATCATATTAATGATTATGTGGAAGATCTGCACATCAAATGTTCTTTCAACATTGTCAGATGTCTGTAAAGATGCTGGAATGACTATATGATGACTCCTTATTCATGTATGGTATTTGTTTATCTAACAGTCATCACTTGTCACTTGACTTTTTGCAACAGCTCATCAAGAATTGTGTTGTTGAAAGGAGTTGACAAGGATGGGTTTGTTTGGTAAGTGTTCTTCTGCTATTATTGGTGGCAATAGTGAGATTAGAAGTGGTTTCATGACTGCTCGTGGTTTTAAAAATTGCTGAAAATTTTACCCTTTTCAGGTACACCAATTATGAAAGTCAAAAGGCGCATGAATTATCTGAAAATCCCCAAGCATCACTCCTCTTCTACTGGGATGGTCTTAATCGGCAGGTATTCCAAGCATCACCTCTCTCTCTCTCTCTCTCTCTTGGGGGAAGGGGTTTTTTGAGGATTCACCCAACAGAAGGATGGTGGGAGGAATTTTATTTATATCATATTCATTGTTGTATGCTGTATGTGAGCTTATATTATATACTGACCTAGTAGACAACTTTGATGGCTATTTTACATGTGAGATTGGACAAAAAGTGTAATTTCTTAAGGATTACTGAAACTAAAAAAGACACTGGTTTTCAGTTTCATGTGCTTTCCGGTGACCGTTATTGTTGGGTTGTGTTTTAGTTGCCTGCTGATAGATCTGTGCTGTAGTCTTTCTGCATGTTTTTTTCTGTCACATCTGTTTGGAAGATTTGAAAAAAAATATGACCCTGTAGTTTCACATACTTTTCTGTTATTCCATTTGTCCACGGGGTAGCTTTTCTTTTCTAGTTAAAGTTAGCTCAGATGATTAAATCTCAAATAATTTGTGGACTTACCTCAAAATTTCCATGTTGAATCTGGTGCTCCTTTTGCGGTAAATATTTAGCAGCTGCAAAATGGCATCACAATTTGCTCACACGCAGTTTAATTAGTTTTATCAAACATGCTGAGTATCTATAGCAGTAGGTCTGTTGTCATTGTATATAGGGACATAACTGGTTGTCCCAAATAACAATGCTGCATTGTTAGTTGTGGGAATTAGGTAGGAGAGGAAAAGCCATATTTTGCCATTGTCAAGAGTATGATGTTAGCAATCCATCGATGATGCTTGTTGCCTAAGTATGACCATCAATTAACAATGAATTATGTTAAGCATGATGTTAGCATTCCATCAATCATGCTTGTTGCCTAAGTATGACCATCAGTTAACAATGAATTATGCTAACCATTATCCTATATTGCATGATATTTAGGCTATCCTTCCACTCCACTTTAGGCCTGGTTCTAAAGTCCATATACAGTTATATAAACATGAAACATGCTAAGAATTATGCAGAAAATGTTTTCTGTTTTCATGTTGGGTCTGTTGCTTAAACGCATGATAACTGTGATTTTTAGGTACGAGTGGAAGGATCTGTGCAGAAAGTTCCTGATGAGGAATCAGAACAGTACTTTCATAGCCGTCCTCGAGGGAGTCAAATTGGAGCAATAGCTAGCAAGCAGGTTTCTTTTATTCTTTTCAGAGTGTATCCAACACATCAAAATATTGGTGTGAGCTTTGTTTATCATCTTCTTTCTCCTTTCAGAGTACTATAATCCCTGGACGGCATATTCTGCACCAAACATACAAAGAATTAGAGGAAAAATATTCTGATGGGTAAGTTGCACTTCTCTTCGTTCTCCTCTTTGAGTGGCTTCAAATAACTAGCTTTTACGATTCTGTAATATAACTCAGTTTATTATTACACACAAGACTATTTCTGCTACCTTTTTTTGAAAGAAAATGATTACTCTGGATTTTAAGATTGGTGGTTAGCAATTTCTTGTTTAAGTGGGTATGGTTGTTTAAGAGCAAGTATCAATAAAATGTAGTGTTTTTTTGCCTGTTGTCTAAGTGCAGAAGTTTGATTCCAAAACCTAAACACTGGGGAGGGTACAGGCTTAAACCACAACTTTTCGAGTTTTGGCAAGGACAGCAGTCTCGTTTACATGACAGGTTAGTTTCATCTCATTTCTCGTGCTGCATATTTATATTTGCATGCAAACATTGAATGGAGCAGGTTTTTTAGCAATCCCCCATATCATATTTTGTTGTCTATTGTGTTTTGCTGAATGCTTGACTGCATCACAATTTTACAAAAATGTTAGTTAGGAATGTGGCTTCTCCAGGAAAAAAAATATAATTCTCACAGGAAGGTACTCTATTTTGCATACTATGAGATATATATATATGTGAAGTATTGAGAAAAATGGGTTTGGAAAGTATAAAAGTATTCATAATTATAGAGAGTTTTGGATATCAAATGGTCTTATGGTAGTTAACTGCATGGTTAATATATGCATGCTCTTTTACAGGTTGCAGTATATTCCTCAAGAAATTGACAGAAAGCTAGTTTGGAAGATTGTGCGGTTAGCTCCCTGACTAGTACTTCCAGCTTCCTCATTGTGAAGCTTGTCATTCATGATGTCATGGTACTTTGTTATCTGTTGCCCGTGTTTAGTTATTTTGGTACAAGTAGCAAATAGTATAATTATGTTCTCTGTCTTTTCTGTTTATTTGATTGTGTTGCTAGACTTCCAAAAGTCTTGTTAGTATACCCAGGAACATAAATTCTTATTCAGCGAGGAACCTTGTACCGTAAATTTTGATCTTGGATCGCAGATCTATTGGCGAAATAATTGAAGTGAAAGGCATGGGTCGAGGTTGGGTTTAAATTTGTGCATTTTAATTGGAAAGCAAGTTATGGACGAGAAGAGACACGCTATACTCCAAAAGTTGTGGGCGGCAGAGGTAGGCTGTTGCTGTTATTTAATATATAATGGAATGTTGAAATTGAAAAAATGAAAAAAAGAAAAGAAAAGAATTTTGTTACAAGTATAACTTGTTATATGTTTCATACGATAGCAAAAACATGACTCAAACTATTATTTTGAAACTTAACTAGCCTGTAATCTGTTAATTCCTCAAACTTTTGCATTAGATCACTGGTACTTCAATTTCGTTGGGCACCATGTATGTATTTGTTGGAGTAGATTGCCTCCTTTTTAATTAAAAATATATTAAAATAATTTTTTTAAACATTAACATATTAAAACCATTAAAAATTATCTAAAAAAAATAATTTTATATTTTATATATATATATATATAAAGCTCAACTGTAAAAATAAATATTTCCTATCGCACCTAGTAGAGTCGTGCGTAATTTTCCATTTGTTTGTCACAACTCGTAAGGATCACCTTACAATTAAAAGTACATTAAGGGCTGGGGTCTTTCAACCATGCCATCTTGTGGATTACAATGATGCCTATTTTTTCAGTTGTTATTTTGTCGTTGTATCCTTTTCTGAGTTGTTTCAGGAGTTGGTAGTTCTTATTTTCATGTTTTCTGAGTTTTAAAGGTTTTTGTTAGTTTATAAAACTTGATTGGAGATTAATGTAATATAAGATATAGTCTGTATTTGTAGTAGAAACATAATTAAGACTTTGATTTCTAGGAAATTATTTTTTAAATTTTCTTGTGTTTATTTTTCTATTACAAAAGATGGTTAACAAAAAAAAAATTAATAAAAAAAATTTAGTTTAATTTTTATAAAAGTATTTTTTTTTAAATTTGAGCTGGAAATATTTTCTAGAAATTATGAAAAAATTAAAAATATTTTATTATTGTTGACTGTATTAAATTTAATTTTTAATTTTTTAATTGTTATATATTTTATTTTTTTAGTAATTATTCAAGTTGTCATTTTGATTTGGCAGGTTTGTATGGCCATACCAAATTAATTTTAATATAATTTAATTTAAAATCTGACCTAAATAATAAATGGCGTCATGAGTTTTTAGATTTGATCTATAATATGAAATTTAAAAATAATATAAAAAAGAATCCCAAATAATTCTTTTGTTTAGTTTTTTTATATATACACAACTCGCAACATAGCCTATGCAATGTACTGGTTTATCTACCTGTGCTCGAGCAAACTCTACAAAATCATGGATGGACATCGAAAGATACAGTGAGTTGTGATGGGAAGTCACTTTGTTTAGTGGATCTATAAATCTTCCCTTTGTGAATAGCCAAAATAATTGGTAACTATCGATCGAAACGATGACTCCAAAATAATTGGTAACTATCGATCGAAACCAACCACTAGTGTGAATGACTCCGAAACAATTTTTCATCCGGCCATGATATCGGATGCTAGGCCTTGGAACGGAAGGAAAATCTGGCTTCTTTTCAAGCAAAAATGAAGCTACAGCTTCATTGGAGGGTTTCACCATCCATGTTTTGCTGATGCTGTAATATTGGCTATATCCTGACCAAAACGGGGCTCCACCTCGAATATAAAATATCTAGAGTTTCTTTTCAAGGTTCTTTTGACCGAACTGAAGCTGAATTCTGACGCACTACTTTATGAAAGACCATTTCGATGCAAGGTGACCACACCACACACCACTTTCTTTTCAAATGGGTCAGACCGAGAAGTGTGCGGTGAGTGGAAAATCATGGATCTCAGGTGTTACTTGTCAGGGTGAAATTCAAAGGCACTGTTTCTTCTGTTGTCGTTACACCTCAACCCCACCCTCCCAAAGATCCAAGATCGAGCGGTGGGGGGATTTTTAGAGTTGTAAAGAGAATGATTAAAGGAGTCTCCTCTCTCTCTTTTTCAAAAATCAGTGTCTCTGAAAGTAAGGTCTACTGGCCTATGATCCATTAAATGAACTCGGAGCCACCACAAGTGGGTAGTGCTGTTCGATCACATACATGATGAGTTGTCAACAGTTAAAGAGATCATTAAGGAAATCTCTTGAAGACCATCGACTCCAAGAGAAACACCAGCTATTGAAGAGCCCATCAGCAACCACTAACGAAGGTTGACCCGACGTTAAATAATAAGTGGCCACGTCCAGATCAACAAGTTGTAATGCCCTGGATAGAGCATGTTTTAATAGAAAAAACTTCGATCGCCGGGGATGTATTTGCTTTATATTCCCATTATCTCCCCGGGTCATTTTTCAACCGTCCTTTGGGAGAGAATAAAAAAGGCCACTTTTCTTTTTTTTTAAAAAAAAATCATTTTCACTAACTCCTCTATTACCACACTTGAAATTCGGAAGATTCTTTAGCAAAAATCTGGGGGATAAAATCCTAGAAAGCAAAGTCGAGATTCATGTTCCTTTCTATTCGCCCTAAACTTTGCAAGAGATGATTACTGTTTGGAGGGTAAGGATCACATCGAGGAAGATGCATTCAATTGCTTGAATCATTGTTGAGAATTGGTACAAATTGTTGAGCTGCTATACCACCATGGACACACACACACGCCATGGACACTCCCACTTCCTACCTTAGGTCCCGAAAGAGAAATTCATGGAGATTTACATGGTAGTTTGTGTCTCAAATATATATATATATATAATGTTCCACTTTAGATTTTGGTTTCTTTATGAAAAATATTTTCTGATATTTAAATTAAAAATCATTTTTCTTTATCTAAAACTTATATTTTTGTTTAATTGAAAAATTAATTATGATAATCATTTTTAATAATATAATTAAATAAATAAAAAATCAACATACAAACAAATTATAAGTCAGCTCCACCATTGTGGTGATTATGATAAATTATGGTAGGAAGGGGAGGGACCACGCCTGAGGGGGAGTCCAGATTCTGCACCTTCGAACCATGACACTTTACGCTAAAGGTTTTTATTTATTTAATAATAAAATGCATCTTTTTACGTTAATTAAGAATAAAATTCTTTCTCAACCGATTTTAAAAACACATCATTAATATATTCATATAAATTTAATAAGTCTTTTAAATGTTAATTCTTAACTAGTACAGGTATAGAGCTAAAAAAGAAAAAAAGAAAAAGAAGAAGGCGGTGGGGAGATTCTTTGCATAGATGGAGAGGGACCACAATAACAGGGAAAGTCCATTTTCTACTGTGTCATTGATGTGGACACGTAATTGGTTGGTCAGTGAGGACTGCACTAGATATAAAATATGGGGTTGTGGGACGGTGTCCTCTCGATGTTCTTACAAGTTACAGCCCTTAAGTTATCTGAGGAGACCTAAAAAGTTTTACAAGTGGATTTATGCAATTACTAGATATTGTGGCTCAAGTTATGCCGCGCTCCATTCAAATTTGTTTTTTCTTTTTTAAATAAAATTTCCAAGCGAATGCAAGCATGTTTTTGAAAAAAAAACAAAATTCATGATCTGAATTAGATAGTCCGATGAATTAGTATTATTTAATTAGTTATTAAAAAAACATGTAATGATAATAAAAAAAATATTTTTATCTGAATAAAGAAAAGCTTGTAAAAAAAAACTATGAAGCTTGGATCCTATCTAATCCAATATGGATAAACAAAATTGAAAAAAAAAAACTTGAACTAATGTAAGTGAGTATGTCAAATTTATAATTTGGATTATGAGACTATAATAAACTAATATAAAACAAATAATAAAATAATAAAATCCAATTCTAAACAAATTTAATGTAAAATGATGAAATTAAGGGAAAAAAATCAATTAATAAAAAGAAAAATAAAAATACCAACAAACCGGCGAAATCCACCAAACCTTGCGACCCGAATCATGCTAATAAGATAACTTAATAAAAGACAAATCAAGAAAATTATGAAACTCGAATTTAAAACAAATAAATGTTGAAAGATAAAACAAAAAAAATATTAAAATTTAAAAATAAATGACCAAAAAACTAGAGTCAACTTGGATAAACTCACCAAACCTACAGTTCAAGTGATGAGATTGGGATATCCAAATTAAAAGGAAATCACAAAGTCTAATTTTTTTAAAAAAACAATAGCATGGAAGAATGAGATTGAAAAATAAAATTAGTATAAAAAAACCCTAACATTTTTTTTTTATGTTAACTGGGTTGAGTTTTCAAACTTGTAACTATGGTTATAAAATTGAGATCACCCCATCAAGAAAAAAATAGCACCAGATTTTACAGTCAATCATGTATAAAAGGATGAAATTAAAAAAAAATACAAAATGATCGAAGAAAGCAATTGAAAGAATAAGGACCAAATTAAAAAAAAAAATTGAAAGGGCAGCATAGATTGAAAGACAAAAGGATTCGAAATATTAAAGAAGAAGTAATTAAAAGAATAAGGATCAAAGTTGAAGAATACAATAAGAGGATAATCTATAATTTTCTGATTGAAAAGTGAAATTAAAAAAAACTTTTAAATTTCATAAATGGACTCAACATGAAAATTTAGCAATATGAAATAACAATAAAAATAAAAGGATAATTTGAAATTTTTATAGTGTAGTGCAAATTTTAAAGAGAGACAAAAAAAAATAGCCTCTCATGACAAACTATTATGATTCGGGCTCTATGACCGACTCACATGGAAGAACACAACATTGCATCTATATGCACTGCAGAAAATTAGATTTGGCCATTAGAAGAGGCAACACGTGTAGCCAAAAATCTACAACCTCACTCACTTTTTGCCATGTGCACTGCATGAGTCAACAAGTTAACTACAATTACCTATGTTTGGTTCAGCATCATCATGAAGCCTTTGTTTTTCTAAATCAATGGAATTTAAATATATTTTGACAAATTTAGACAACCAAGCATTACAATTTTTTCTTGACAAAGCGAGACCCTTATATCTAGGTAGCCAAAATAAGTTATTAAGGCCCTATTTGTTTGATAGAAAGTAA